TTGGGCTGTCCCTTTGCTTGAGTCTTCAGGTCATGTGATGTAGAGGCTTGTCCCTTTTGAAGTGTTATAGTAGTATAGCCTATCCCATTTTTATCACCACTCATTTGTTGAGACCTAATGATGCTTTCAAGTGTCTTCGACCCTTTGGCCCCGTTTGTTTGGAGAGTTAGAGGAGGGATTAGGATTGGTAGTGAGGTAAGACCTACTAACATTGTGTTTGTTTTGAGAGATGGGAAAGGAATTGATAGTGAGCTTCAGATTATGAATCTCCTTCGGAAGAGAATTCAGATGGGTCTCCAAAACTTGATATTAGAAAAATAGTCCGCCGAATTAGAAAATTTTTATTTTTTTACATATTGGGCATTTTTTTTTTAACATTAATGTTTAATTTTTTGTATTTTTTGTTAAGTAAAAATTATTATTTTATTTGTTTTATTTTTTTCTGGAAATTTTTTATTTTTTTTATTTAAATTTTTTTTTACATGTTGGGCATTTTTTTAAAAACATTAAATAAATTTAATGTTTTTGTATTTTTTTTATTTGTTTTATTATTTTATATAAAAATAATTTAACAATCCCTACACTAATAACTATCATCAAAACAAACACAATTTTACTTAATCCCCTCACTATCAATCGCCTCCATTCTACCTCTAAAAACAAATAGCGCATTTGTTCCACATATCAATCGTGGCTCTAGCAACTTTGAGTTCTTTCTTTTTCTAACCAATCAACTATTCCAACGTGGCTTGTGACATCTCAAGAATTCCAATCTTCTCTTCAAATGTGGCATAGATGCTAAGAAGTTCATTTCTTTCAGTTTTACAAGCTAGAAGCTTTCTGCAAAAGTCTTACCTGTCATTTGAGATCTTGATGACATCTCTTTTTGTAGCTCCAATCTCTCCATTTAGCTCAACATTCGCGCTTTCACATGCTTTGAGCTTGAGAGTGAGTTTGTCATTGATCTTGGACAAATTCAGAGATTCATCGTAAAGCTTCTCATAAGCTTGTTGTAGGTTATTACCATCAATCTCATCATTGTCTTCCTAGGTTTCATTATCTTTTTTTTGCTCCTCTTTCTCCTGGACCTCATCCAGTCGAGCAATGAAGGCATGAAAGTTGATAGATGGTGATGAAGATGACTCTTCTCTTTTATAAAATTGACTCAAAATGTCCCATGCATCTTTGGTCTTTGTGCAGTGAGCAACCTATTGCTGTTCTTCGTCAGAAATTGCTTCACAAATGGTAATTAGAACTCTTTGATTGCTTGGATTGTCAATACTTTCAACATCCTCTTCAATGACTTGCCAGCCCTCAGGGTCGTGAGCTCTCAAAAACATTCTCAGTCTGATCTTCCAGAACAAGTAATTACTCCCATCAAAGGTATGAACACGGTGCAGATTCTGACCACAAGCAAATTCTACTGGCTTTGGAGGATATTGAGTGATAGTACACCAGAATGCCATGTAAGTACTATCTTCATCTTCACTGGATTCGGTTTCTTTGGGTTCTTGCTCTGACCCACTTTCATCATCTCAAGTCACTATATAGACTTTCTTCCCATTTTTTTCTGATGGACAATCAAGAGCAATATGTCCAAACTCTTGGCATTCGTAACACTTGACACCTTATCCCATTCACAGTCTTCTTTTTAGTTTTTGGAGCAATTTTTGGTGGAAAAGTTTTGGGTTTTTCATTACTCTTATCTTTTGAAATAGGGTACTTGAAATTAGGCTTCTTTTTCTTTAATTTTTTTTTGAATTATTTAGTAAACATATCCGTCATTTCAGACTATAGATCAAACTCAATCTCAGGGGTCTTTGCAGTCTCATAAGCACTAGTAAAAGCCACACTATCTTTTTGTTTTTTCTTACAAATTTTTTGGGCTTCATAAGTCTACAAGTTTCCAACCAACTGATCAAGCTTGAGGGTATCAACATTCTAAGCCTCCTCAATAGCTGTAACTTTTGATTGGAACCTCTCGCGTAAAGATCTCAAAATTTTTCCAACAACCTTAACTTCAGGGATTTTTTCACCGAGTGTGAATACAAGAATTCACGATGTCACTAAGTTTAGCATAAAATCATCGAGCGTCTTATCATCACGCATAAAAAGAGTTTCAAAAGAAGATGTGAGACGTTGAAGTTTTGGCCTTTTAACAGAAGTAGTACCCTCGTAAATAGTTTCAAGAATGTCCCAAGCCTCTTTTGCTACCTCACACGTGCAAATACGACGAAACTTTTCAAGTGTGATGGAGCAAAAGAGGGAATTGAAAGCCTTACTGTTCCAACTCGAGTTTTGATAGTCGAATGTGTCCCATTTATCAAGAGGTTTGGGAATATTAACACCATCAATGGTGACAACAGGTGTACTCCACCCATAGATCACTCAGTGCCAAACTTTCTCATCGATAGATTTTAAAAACGCTCTCATACGAGTTTTCCAATAAGAATAGTTTGTACCATCAAGTAACGGAGGTCTATGAGTCGAGTTACTTTTGCGAATTGAATCCATATCATCAATCACACAAAATTACACTCCTATAGTTTTGATAAAATCAAAGAATGACCTGCTCTGATACCAATTGAAAAACCTAAGCGATTCGTGATTAGATCAAGATTTAATTGTACTAATTCCTAAAAATTAAAACTAACGATCTAAATCATCAAGCATGTACGAAAGTAATTTAGATTGTTGTTTCAAAAACAATAAATCGACACAAACGATTTTTTCGTGGAAAAAACCACTATTGGAGCACCTCCAATTGTGATTAAAAAAAATCACGGGCGAAACGTCACAAATCAATCCACTATAAAGGAAAGAAAGAATACAAAATACCCAAACAAATTACCCAAACTCTGTCAATTTGTCTTCAACGATTTGTATTTTTTCCACCGCAACCTTCGTCTCAGAATTGATTAGATTGATATTGATTCCACAACATCCACTCCGACTCAACGACTGCGTACAGCTTCGAACACCTTCGAACACTCCACGCTTGAATCTTCGGATTCCACCGAAGAAGAACACTCTTGAAAATGATCACTCAAATAACCCTTTGATGTGAATTGTCAAACCATGTGAGTTTAATACTCAAGCAAACATCAAAGGAATACTAGCAAAATAGCCCCACAAGAAAACCCTACAGCCCTCAAAACAGATTTGGAAGCATTAACCATAAAAACGGACTAAATCACATATTTATAGCAAACAGGGTTGTGATCTCCGCTCGAGCGCAGGACTTGCCGCTCGAGCAGCGTCACTTAAACGAGTGCGAATAGACAGGTCTAAGCTCGAGTGCAACAATATGCCTCCCAGTATGTTTACAAAAAAGCCAAACTACTGGAGAAGAAAAACCTACGCTCGAGCGCAACTTTGGCCGCTTAAGCACAACTTTGGCCGCTCGAGCAGGAAGACCAAAAAACAAGAAAAAATTACAACTCAATTAAACTAATCTTGTTCATGGAATTGGCAACAAGTATGGACCTAACACTATCATTTATTATATTTATTCAAGAACAATTCAAATAATTTGTCATCATTTTTTTAAAAAATAAACTGGATTAAAATTATTTTCTTATATAATTTTTATAATCTTACGAAATTCTTATCTTGATTTAAGTTTTTTAAATGTTGTAGGAACCATGCAAGTATTATTCAAGTTTTGGAGAAAATGATTATGAAGAAAGATTTATATGCATATGTGTCATTGATATAGGAAATCGAAGATAGAGAGTTGCTAACATGATCAATTAATGATTTATTTGAGAATTGTTTTTTTATGAGTAGGGTAACAAAGTTGGATTAAATTTTTTTAAAAGCTATTTCGAAATTATAATTAAAAATTAAGATTTATTCATTATTTAGTCCCACGATAATAATATAAACCACTGATTTACAAGCTTAAGTAAATTTATGATAACTTTTCTGAGTTTATAGAATTTCTCCTTTTTAATACTTTGTTTTTGTTTTTTTGTTTTTTTAACAGGATTAATTAATGATTTATTTGATAAGTTTTTTTTATGAGTAGGGTAACAAACTTAGATTAAATTTTTTTAAAAACTAATTAGAAATTATAATTAAAAATTAAGATTTATTCATAATTTGGTCTCACAATAATAACATAAACCACTTATTTAAAAGTCTAAGTAAATTTATGATAACTTTTCTGAGTTTATAGAATTTCTTTTTTTTAATACTTTGTTTTTGTTTTTGTTTTTATTTTTTGTTTTTTTGTTTTTTGTTTTTTGTTTTATGCATGATACTATAGTTTGATACAAGTTATTTATATTATCAAGTGATTGTTATACTATTATTTCTAACTAATCTTTATAATTAACAATTTTTTATGCATATCAAATTTTATTTTGAAATTTTGTGGATTAATTATGGTTAACATCTACCAAGATGGCCTAATATCGTGACTTGCCTCTATTAAAACATAATTCAAAATTAGACTAATTTATTTATCACACAAAAATATATATAATCTATTTTTTCATCCTTAGCACGGATTACTACTAGTTAAATATTATGCAACTGATTAGAATTAAATAAAAGTGTTTTAGAATTTTAATTCTTGAGTTGTAAAGCCAGCTCTAATAAAATGACATTGAGTCTCACTCATTATGATATATGTTTTTAGTCTTGATTTGTTTGTTTTTGTTTTTATTTTTTATTTTTTTCTCCTTACCATATCATTCATTCTTCATTAGATCACCCCAATTATTGCTATGAATCATAACTGCCTATGTTTGGGAAGTAGTTTTGGGATTTTTTTAGTTAAAATAGTTACAAAAAAATAAAAAATATTTTTTAGTCTAATAAAACAAAATATCACATTCAATTCATAATCATTACATTCTTTCTCTCAAAAAAAAACTAAAAAAAATAAAAAAATTAAAAGTCGTTCCCCAATCAAACTTTTTAGCTTCAAACTGAAATAATTAAAAAAATCAAAAAATTTAAAAATCAACTCGCTTCCCCCAACGAAGCCACTGTAGAATTGAAATAGGAAGGCCTTCCACACTTAAAATGGACACCTCCCGATGGCATAGAAGTCTGAACCCGAACCCCCGGATTCTGATCTCACAGACAGACACAAGTGCAGAGCAGAGTGAGGAGGTTCAGACGCTTTTAAATGTGGACTCTGGATTGTAATACCAATAAATTTTTCTGAATCTCTTGTGAAGTTCTTCACAAGAAGTTACAACCCAATCACTAATCAACCCTCCTTCCACTTCCCTTCCCTCTTCTCTCATCAGTCAATCCCGTTTTGGGTTTGGATCTACACTTTTATTTGAACTCTACCAAACGGGGCCATTGTCTCTGCAAACAGTACCTTATCAGTGAATGGCAATGGATTCTTGCTGTGCCGCCATGAAAGCTAATGTCCACGCAGTGCAAGGTAGGAGAGGAGATTATGGGTTTTGGGGAGAGAGAATAAGGGGGAGTCTGAAGAGCAATGTTTTGGGTACTCAGTTATGGAAAACCTTTAGGGCTGAAAACAGAGACTCCAAGGTTAAACCTGGGATGGTTTTCTCTGTTCTTACATCAGATATTTACAAAGAACTTCTGGTGAGTCAACACAAAGCGGTGACTCTTCTGTTTCCTTCCTTAATTTGCTATTTTGTCCTAAATTTCCTATTAGTATTTGACATCTAGACTGTGTTGTCATGATATAGTGTTAAATCCATTGAATTGTGATGTTATTTATTATTTTCTTGTGGGTATATATGCAATCTCACTATTGGTGAAATGTGTACTGATTTCAGACGTTTGAGGCACCATCATTTGAGTATCCAAAAGTAGAACCGGGGAATGTAGCCTCGATCATATGGGGTGGAGGCCCCGGGACTCGCCTCTTTCCACTCACCAGCAGAAGAGCTAAGCCAGCTGTAAGAGAAATCCATATACTCTATACACTTTTTCTTGATTGTAATATTGTCAATTAATGATCTCATGCAGAAAAAGTTGGATTCAATTTGTATAGTGATTGTGTTTTTTCTCCTGCAGGTTCCAATTGGAGGTTGTTACAGGCTAATTGATGTGCCCATGAGTAATTGCATCAACAGTGGCATAAGAAAGATTTTCATCCTCACTCAGTTCAATTCTTTTTCCCTCAATCGTCATATTGCTCGCACGTATAACTTGGGAAATGGTATCACCTTTGGGGATGGTTTCGTGGAGGTGAGATGAATTAGGCGAAGTAGAAGTCATTGGGCCAAAAAAATAAATGGTTATGAAAGCCAAACTTTATCTTTATCTTGAAATTGTTAGATTAAGATCGGTGAGACACGAAATAACAAATAAAGAATAAAAAATAAATCACACTCACAAGAACCCAAGAATTTACATGGTTACCCTATAATTCGGCTACGTCCACGGCTGCTGCGGTTTTCACTATGATCAGAAAAATACAACTCTCTCTTAACTTAAAAGAGGCGCCCCTTGGGGCAGGCTCCTAAACCTCCCGTTGGGTTGGATCCCGTGTTTGAGTGAACAGTAGCATTGAGTGAAAAATATTTATTAGGGTCCACTAACCCAACAGAAACTGTGTCAAGTTTTTGCTGTTCTTAGGAAATACATATTATTAGATGAATTGCCTTTTGAAGATAATTTTTCTGATATATTCTTTTGGATGATGATTTTTGTGTGAAATTAAATGGCGTCTCAAAGAGATTTTTTTGATTGGGAACAGGTTTTGGCTGCCACCCAAACACCGGGAGAAGCTGGAAAAAAATGGTTCCAAGGAACAGCAGATGCTGTGCGGCAATTCACATGGGTATTTGAGGTGGGTGCTTAGAATCTTTCATTATCATTTGTGATGGTTTCTGTTTGAAAAGTACTGACTCTGATTTTCATGATTCTTATAGGATGCCAAGAACAAGAATGTGGAGAACATATTGATTTTGTCTGGTGATCATTTCTACAGGATGGAATATATGGACTTTGTGCAGGTACTTTTCTTCTATGAAGCACGGACACAGACACAGACACGGACACGGACACGGACACGGACACGGACACGGACACGGACACGGATACGGATACGGACATGGACACGGTACTGGGACACGACAATTTTCAAAAAATGGGGACACAGACACGGTGAGGGACACGGCGAATTTTATTTTATTTATTTTATATATTTTTATGTGTTATGTAGATTCATATTACATTCATCCTAAATTAAAATTAACAAACACTAACATAATAACATTAATTGAATAAACATAACCATTACATTTAAACAAATTAATAGATCATCCATTCACAAAAAATTCACAAAAAAGTCATAATAAACGATAACAAGAACTAAGACGAGAAGGGGAAAACATTCAACATCCAACAATATTTTTCACAAAAGTACTAAATAAGAGAGGCAAAAGATTAAAAAAATAAAAAAAAAATTAAATTAAAAAAAATAAAAATAAAAATAGCCCTGCCGTGTCCCCGCCGTGTCCCATGCCGTGTCCCCATATGGACACGCGTGTCCCCGCCGTGTCCCTGCCGTGTCCCCTGCAAAAAAATCATTAAATTAAAGGGACACGCCATCTGGCGTGTCCCATACGTGTCCCCGGCGTGTCCCCGTGTCCCCGGCGTGTCCCCGTGTCCCCGGCGTGTCCCCGTGTCCCCGGCGTGTCCCCGTGTCCCCGGCGTGTCCCCGTGTCCCCGGCGTGTCCCCGTGTCCCCGGCGTGTCCCCGTGTCCCCGGCGTGTCCCCGTGTCCCCGGCGTGTCCCCGTGTCCCCGGCGTGTCCCCGTGTCCCCGGCGTGTCCCCGTGTCCCCGGCGTGTCCCCGTGTCCCCGGCGTGTCCCCGTGTCCCCGGCGTGTCCCCGTGTCCCCGGCGTGTCCCCGTGTCCCCGGCGTGTCCCCGTGTCCCCGGCGTGTCCCCGTGTCCCCGGCGTGTCCCCGTGTCCCCGGCGTGTCCCCGTGTCCCCGGCGTGTCCCCGTGTCCCCGGCGTGTCCCCGTGTCCCCGGCGTGTCCCCGTGTCCCCGGCGTGTCCCCGTGTCCCCGGCGTGTCCCCGTGTCCCCGGCGTGTCCCCGTGTCGGACACCGCCACGGCACTAATTTTGGAGTGTCCATGCTTCATAGCTTTTCTTATGTATTTATTTCATTTATCAATGAGAGATGTGGATTGGGACACACCGTTTGGCTTGGTTTGGTTTAACAAGCAATGTGATTGCAGAAGCATATTGATACACACGCTGATATCACGGTATCATGTGTCCCCATGGATGCTAGGTATGTTATTCAACTTTAGGTTCAATTTGATTTCATTTTTCAATCTCAGGTCATTCAAATCACAATACTTTATCATTGAAGGCCTCTTGCTTCAATTTGAAAGCAAAATTGTTGAATTCAATGTAGTGAGTAGACTCTATTGAAATTTTCTTCTTATGGATCATGAAGTTCATATCAATATTGATTTTGTTTTGCAGCCGAGCATCGGATTATGGACTGATGAAAATTGACAAAACGGGACGTATTATCAACTTTGCTGAGAAACCAAAAGGCCCTGCACTGAAACAAATGGTAGGTTAATCTATTGATCTAGTCTACAATTTCTAATGGATTGGTTTCTCGTTACATCCAAATTAGTTTGATAATCGCCATCTTTTTACTTCTGTTTTTATCCCAATTGCTACCAACCACCAAGTAATTATTCTCGTATATATGGGTCTTGATTATCTAATATTGTCATTTGAAATTGCACTCCAGCAAGTTGACACCTCTGTTCTCGGACTCTCTGAGAAAGATGCTGCAAACTACCCTTACATTGCATCAATGGGTGTTTATGTGTTTAGAACTGATGTCTTACTAAAGCTTTTGAGGTGGAGGTACCCTACAAGCAATGACTTCGGCTCTGAAATCATTCCTTCCGCTGTGTCTGATCATAATGTCCAGGTGATCTATAGAGCGTTTAATGTTAATAATATCAATTTTCTTTTTCGATTAAATTTCTCTTTTTTAATGCATTTGAATTCAGGCATATTTATTCAAGGACTACTGGGAGGACATTGGGACAATAAAGTCTTTCTTTGATGCCAACTTGGCCCTTACAGAACAGGTTAGTTCTCTCTTATCACAAGGACCTTTCATCACTTTGACACATGGTCCAAATTTAGAACACAAGTCGACTTCAATGCTCATGAAGAATTGGAAACCTACATGTGAATTTGATAAACAAAATAATTTCCACTGCCATTTTTTTTTTTTTTTTCCGAATTTTACTTATTTGAAATGACTATATATTCATGCAGCCTCCAATGTTTGACTTTAATGACCCGAAGACACCTTTCTTTACCTCTCCTAGGTTCTTGCCACCGACTAAAATGGAAAAATGCAAGGTATTTTGATAATATCAATCTCATTTATTGTTTATCTGTGATTCATTCATGCTATAATTATAAACTGGTTCTTGCAGATTGTGGATGCCATAATTTCACACGGTTGCTTCTTGCACGAATGTAATGTCCAGCACTCCATAGTGGGTATTCGTTCGCGCTTAGAGACGGGTGTTGAGCTTCAGGTGAGTTATATTTTTTGTTCAAAAGCTTGCTTGGTCGATTTGGAGCCAGCTTTTCTTCCAACTTTTGGAGTAAATGCTGATTATATTTGATGGTGCATAAAATATTATCTCTTCCAGGATACGATGATGATGGGTGCAGACTACTATCAAACTGAATCTGAAATTGCATCTCTGTTAGCGGAGGAAAAGGTTCCCATTGGTGTTGGACGGAATACCAAGATCAGGTGAAATACGTGAACTATGCCATTACACTCTGAAAAGACTAGCTAATTTGTGTGGTTGCTGAAAATCCTTTGTCAATTTTGTTGAAGGAATTGCATAATTGACAAGAATGCCAAGATAGGAAGAGATGTGATCATTGCAAATACAGATGTAAGTATATCCATTTTGCATATTATTGCATTTTACTTACTACTGATAGAAGCTATGAAATTAAATGATTTGATATCACAGGGTGTTGAGGAAGCAGAAAGACCAGATGAAGGATTCTACATTAGATCCGGGATCACAGTGGTACTGAAGAATGCAACTATTAAAGATGGAACCATCATATGAAATCTTGTCCAGTGAAAACCTCTGGTTCTGGTTTACAGCTTTAGTCTTTTTTGCAATAAGATGTCATTAAAAGGGTTGCTCCTATATGTAAATTATGACTTTTTTTTTTCACGTATGTAAGAAGGGATTTTGAGATGTAGTTTAACAGTGTAGTTTCAGAATAAATCAAAGAGTACTTTGCTTTTATTTTATGTATTTTGGATTCCATTTAAGTATTGTCAAGACATTGTCGAAAGTATATAAAAACTACACAAACTCATCAATCTTCTCTCTTGTATAAACATATGAATCTATAAGATAGCATTAAAATTGAAAATCCTCAACAGTAATGTAGCATTAGCTTTGTATACTTTTAGATTACTACTACACGGTTTTCAGTTTCCAGTATTGCCCCTCTTGTTCATATCCCTTGCTTTCCTCCATATCTCAACGTTCCTCAGCCTAGCATACATCTTTCGAATCTTCCTGAGTTTTTGCGACTGTTGAGCAATCAGACTTGCTGTTGAAGTGCTTTCACTCAAAACTATCTCATACCCATCACGGAAAGAGTCCATTCCTTCAGTTAGAAGTTGCCAGAACATTCCTCCGGCAGCTGCTCCTCCACCACTAGCAGACGAATAGATTGCTGAGTAGACTGTATTGAACAAAACGTCCCTTTGTTTTGTGTCAAAACCTGGATCTTTCCATGATTTTCCAAACTCACCGACAAGAAGTGGCTTTCCTAGTATGTTTTGCGCGTCTTGAATGTGAGTGTTGACCCAATTGTTCAAAAATGAAATCTGGTTGTCCTCACTTGTTCCAGGTAACCTGATCATCAAAAATATAAACAAATTCGTGTCAGGAATAACCATAAAGGATGTTTCTTTCTGCCCGGGAATACATTTTGCTCTAATACTTACCATGCATCAGGGTATGAATGAATTGTAGCAAAATCTATGCCGGGGATTTGATTATTTGCAATAAAATCGGTTCCTACTTGGAAATTCAGATTGAATTGTTGTTTCTGAGAACCTGATTGCCCATAAAATCCTTCCAGACCAGCTTCTAGTAAGTGATTACTGTCTATGGATTTCAAGTATGAAGCCATTTCCGTAATCCAACCCTGTCATAGAAATTCAGTAAAGTATTGAAAAGCTGTATTTTTATTCTTCTTTATAGTCTGCAAGAAAGAAAAAGGCAATCTAACCCCAACTCTTAAGCTAAACCTCTCCTACTGTTCGGAAAAATTTATTTTTATTTTGAGAATCTGTATCAAGAGTGTTTGATACAATTTTCATTTACAGCTTGTGAGATAAAAATAGCTTAAATAAATTTTAAAGGCTGATTATTAAAACTAGAGAAGGGATGTTTTTTGTTTCTGATTATCAATTTTCAATTTACAAAAAAAATGCAGAAATTAGTCATAACACTACTAGCAATTTTTGAGACGATGGAGAACTCCAACCCGCCTACCCTCTTATATATGGATGAACTCCGAACAGGCACCCTCTTATATATGGATGAACTCCGAACAAGCACGAACACTTGTAAATCACACGTATCTGAGTGTTTTGGGTTCCATGAGGGTCAAATATGAGACTTCCCGGATCTTCCAACAGTGGAGATCCCACACGAGGCCTCCCATTTCTTTTTGTACAAGAAAATTCAAATTTTTATATGGCTAATCAAATGAAAAAAGAGTTGTTTCCAACTTTCATATAGCAGAATATATGATTGATTGTAAATATGAACATATATGTATACAGATGTAGATGAAGTTTTGAGGACAGGTCATGACTAACCTGAATGGTACTTCCTGAGGTATCAGAAGTGCACCTAGGCTCATTCATAAGCTCCCAAGCCATTATCGTTGGGTCATCCTTGTACTCAACCCCGGTGATGCTGTTACGCCTTGTAAGAACAGTCTGTGCAGAAGAAGCAGAAACACCGGAAATGGAAAATAAATAAATCACAATTCATAAAATTTATCATTTCATCATTGCTAGTAATTTTATTTTTTTATCTTCTATTTTTTACACAATTTCATAACAAGCGATTATCATAATTGTGACCAATTCGAAACCTTGTCTATTAAGCTAGTGAATCCACCATGCAAATTTCATGGAAAAGAACAGAAAAGAAAAGAAAAACTCCTTGAACAGTAAACCCACCCAACTATGTGAAAATCCCCAAAATACTGAAGGTACAGAAATCAGGGAGGAAAGTTCTCACTACATGACTGAATATCAACTATTTCACTTGTTTCCTGGTTTTTCTCTTCAGTCTGTTTGTTTCCGGGGAAAACTGCCACTTTTCTGGGTAATATGTGGAAAAGAAAATATAGAAAAAAGCAAGAACAGATCCAAGTTTTGTGTGTGTATATGTGAGAGAGAGAGAGGACTGACCTTGATATGGTTTTTGTAATATCCCTTAACCACAGAATTGGTAAAGAAATCATCATCAGATGCTAAGTTCTGCCCCTGACTTCTTGCCCAATCCACATACTGCTTCTTCCCTCCGAAATTCTCGTAATTATCTACCAAACTCAAGATCAGCTTAATCCCATATCTTTTTGCTTCAGATACAACAAAATCCAACCCCTTTGTTTGTACCCACAAACAAAAGCAAAAGCAAAAACATAAACATAAAACAGAATCAAAAACTATTTGAAAAACAAATTTATCAGATCAAAAATTTGCTATTAACCTGAAATGTTTGCTCGTTGTAGGAGCCAGGGGAGTACTGTAGGGCTCTGTATCCACCATCACTGAATCCCCAAGTTCTTGCCAAAGTGAGGCCATGATTTGAAGCTTGTTGAAAAGCAGAGGACACTTTGTCTCTCTGAGTTGGGTCAGTGGATACATACATTAACCAGTATGCATTGAACCCATTTGCGTAGTAAGGACTACCGTTCAACATGAAATGTATTCCACTGGTTTTGATGAACCCATCTTGTGCTTCTACCCGGATCAATAACAGAACCAAGAACACCACCTGACTCCAATGCCTCATCTCTCTCTCTTTCAATTTGTTTAAATGCAGAGAATCAATAAAATGTTTTAACAAATTGGACGTGTCTCTCTCTTTCAATGGAGGAAGAAAGAAAGCTTACATATGAAAGAGAAGCTTAACGATATGCCCCTTATAAGCACGGAAGTAAATGGTGTATATTTTTATATTTTTTAACTTATAATTTAAAAAAAAAAATTATAACCTAACACAAAAATATCATAACTAAATATTTCAAATTAATATCATAATTAAAAATAATAAATATAACTAAAAAAATGACGTAATTAAAAATACGTATGATATGGGGTATATAATAAAAGAGTAATGTTAGGGATTCTAAATATTTTACTAAATATTATACCAAATGTTTCACATGTCTGAGGTACCCATTTGGACCCAAATAATATGAGTCCCACACCTATATAAAATATTTAATAAAACATTTAGGACTTCTAATATTACTCGTAATGAAGGAAAAAGGGTCATGTGCTAAAAGCACAGCAGTGACTGTAATGCCTCCATTTAAAAATTATTACGGCTTTATTTTTATAATCTAAATGATTTATTTTTGTAAAAAAAATGATCACTGCTGTGCTAAAAGCAGTAATGAATTCTCCAACCAGGGAACTTCATTAATGTTTTCTGATTATTCATATAGCTGCCCTAACTAATTCTCTTTAATGTCCCCTCCTCTATTTTCCTTTTTTCCATTATGTCATTTACTTAAAAAAAAAAATTAAAAATTATATTAATATCTCTTAAGATTTTTTTAAAAAATAAAATAAATCTCATAATTTTAATATAATTATATTAACTTTTCTTCTAATAAAGTTAAATAGATAGAAACTAATTTAAATGGTACGAAAATATAAAAATAAATAACATAAAATATATATTTTTATGTAAAAGAGATAACAAAATCAAATTTTTATCTATATAACTAACAAATTGTTGATGAAAAGAGACTGTTATATGAATAAAAGTATCAAGAGAATTCAATATGATTATATCAGAATTATGAAATTTCTGTAATTTTTTTCTAAACAAGTGTAATTTATCCTCAAAAAGTTTACGATATTCACACTTCATTTCGTTTGTGTCTGTTACACTTTTTTCTTTCTTTCTTTTTTTTCTTTTTTTTTTTTTCATTTAAACCCTCACAATATAAGCCTAAGAGCATCTCCAACTGCTCATTTCTTTTTTCATCAAATCTGAGTAAAAAATAGGTTGTTTTCTCAATTTGATACGGTTTTCTCCAACGATGAGCATCAAACCTGTCGAACAAAATATATACAGAATTGAGGGAAGGGTCGACCGGTTGGTCAACCGGTAAGACTAATTTTTTTTTTTTTTTAACCTGTTTGAACCTACCTATTTGAAAGGGAACCGGCCGACCGGTTGGTCAACCGGCTGGTTCCCCGGTTGGTCTCCCCCAACGGTCACGCACAGTAAAATAGTGAAACCTGGAACTTGTTCTCACCTTGATGAATTTTTGTTTTATTCTTATTTTGATACCAATTTGCTGAAACCATTAGAGCTCCAAAAAGTGACTTTTTCACCAATTTTCAAATCTGATGCAAGGTTTGATGAACCGTTGGAGATGGCCTAAGAGATTAAAAGATGAGTGTGAATATTATTCACTTTATTTGCTTCTCATTTTCAGAAAATTATTTTCAAAAAAATCTACTTTTTTTTTATTTTTCGTATTTTAATATTTTCAATGATTTTTTAAAAATATTTTAAGCAATTTTTTTAATTTTCTAGACACACTAATATAAATACACTTAAAAAATATAATATTTGTGGAAAAAATATTTAAAACATACACTAAATACCAAAAAATAAAAATAAAAAATAAAAATCAGTACATTTTTCGTATTTTTGTGCATTTGTTAATTTTTAAAAATATTTTTTCACAAATATTTTACTATTTAAATACGTCTAAGTAAGATGCATCTAAAAAAGTAAAAAAAAATGCTTAAAATTCAAAAAATATTCACTAAAAACAAAAAAAAACGAAAAATAAAAAACTCAATTTTTTTAAAATTAAATTCAAAAAACTGAAACCAAACAGATTGATTGTCATTTATTTATCTATGTTTTTTTATAATAAAAAAAAGTTATTTGGTAGAATAATAGAATCCATGGTAGCGTTTGGTAGGACTTTCTAAATATGATTTAAGAATAGAAGTTGTATTTTGAGTTTGTGAGTTTTGAAATTATGATTTGAGTGTGAAAAATTTGTTTGGTGAATGAGTTTTGAAAAGAGTTTTGAAATGAGTGGAAAATTTTTGATGTGACATATGATATTTGATACAAAAACTTACAACTCATAACCAAACACACAACTCAAAATTCTCTCATAAAAAATTTTAAAAAATTCGAAAAATATTTTTGTTGCAATTACATGTGTCAATTGGAAAAAAAAAATTACACTGTTCTGGTCAACCGGTCGGATGAGGACTTCCGGTGGAACAACCGGTTAGTCCAAATTTTCCCGCATTCAACCGAGTTTTCAAAAGTGAGCTTGAAATTAATTTTTTAAAGCTGCAAACAAACATCATATGTAAACTGAAGGGTGGAATTCCAAAACCCTTCCAAACACAGCATATCTTTATGGGAAATTTTTTTTCTTTTTTTTTTTTGATAAAAAAAAAATAAGACAGGTAGAAAACCAAAAAGAATGGTGTGGTTAGCAATGTCCATCAAAACAGGGCCAAGCACTCCATAATATAACAACAATAATAATAATACCCTCCCTAGATGATTGCTCTCTGTCATTGTTAGTGTCAAAATAAATTTAAATTTTGACACGTCAAAATAGAATAAATGACAATTTTTGTAATTTTTAAGAAAAATTATATGTACATGTCATTTGTGAATTTCTTCATTAAATAAATAGAGAATAGTTTTTGTCAAATTTTGATATTTTGACAAATTTTGTGTCAAATTTAAGGTTGCTGTAATTTGTCAAATTGACATGAAAGATAGCTCATAATTGAAGATAAATTTAACTTAATTATTATCAATTTTAATCTTCACGTAAGGAATATCACACAATTGCAATTGCTCAAAAATGTTGGTCAAGATATAATCATTTTATAGTAAGGGAAATGCTATATATTTCAAATATTATACCAAATCTCTCGCATGGGTGAGACTCACTCAAATCCACTTGTGTGTGGATCTCACACTAATGTGAGAAGTTTGATAGAATATTTAGTAAAATATTTAGGGTTCCTAACATAACTCTTACAGTAATGATACATAACTCTAATACTGAGCTTTAAATGAAATTTTAGTGAGGTAAAAAAGAGAGTGGCTAGAGAGAGATAGAGAGAGGAGTATGGATCTCACCTTCACATAAGTACTCTCCACATCATTAGATTTATATTAAAGCTCTCAAATTAGAGTTCTCAAACATTATTCATATTTTAAGGAATAAAAATTGAAAACTCTAATTTTAGATCTCTAAAGAGATCTAGTGATGTAATAAGAAATGAGACTCACATATGATATGATATGTATACCAATGTTTTTATTTTTTTATTTTTCTTATTACATCACTAAAACTCTTTTTAAAATTCTAAAATTAAAGATATATATCATTGTTGTATTTTAAGTGGTCTTGAGACCATTAGGCAACCATTGCCAACCCATCACACACTCTATAATGATCTCTCTTTGTACTGTCATTTCTCTGATTTTTGTTCAATTTCCAATTTGGCTTTTTATGAGTGCCTAAATAATGTTTTGGCATGTTTCCAATATTATAGTGTTATTTTTTAATGGTAATGCATTTTTCGAGTAAGCATGTTAAATGATTGGATAAATTACAAATATACCTTTGAGACTTTATTAAAATACGAATGGTCTTTTGTGATTTTGAAAATTACATTCCACGCCATGAGGTTTCTAATTTCATAACAAATCGTCCATTTTATTAATAAATCATTAAGTCAATCAACAGTTTTTATTGATGTTAAAAATATGTTTCAATTAATAATTTAGGTAATTTTATTATTGTATAAGAATGCAATTATGAATTTTATTTTTTTAGTTAATTATGTTGAATAAAAAATTCTAATAAGGAGGTATTTGTAATTTTTCAAATCACAGGGAGCAATCTGTATTTTAAGCAAATCTCAGGAGATATATTTGTAATTTATCCTAAATAAATATCATTTTCTTATGGTGAACAATTTTAACTGAGGGTGACTGAGATGTAATTTTAGTTTCGTAGGTATATATGAATAGTTTTTATAAGGTTTTATTCTTGAAAAAAAAATTATTTTTTGATTTATTTAATTTATTAATATAAAACTCATGCTATGCATGGTTTTAAACATATATATATATATATATATATATATATTGAAATTAAACAATAAAAATATATGCTATCTAAAAAAAACAATAAAAATATATAAATTAAATTTTTTTGATTAAAATCAAATAAATTTTAACCATTTTCATTTGAATTACACTTCAGCATTTTTAAGAGTGAAAATCTTGCCTCAATATATGAGTGTGGAGTGTCTAAAGGCAATTTTATTTGTTATGTTTTGTCTTGAGTAATGCTTTGTAAGCATAAAAGTTATACATAATTTTTGGGGGTGACTTACGCTAAACGATTTTTGTAGTTTGAGACTTGAGCCATTTTAGTTTTTAACTTCTCAATCATGATACATTTAACTCTAAATTTTGAATATTATTCTAAATAAGGGTAATTGAATATATTGTTACACAATTTCAAGGACAAAGTCGTCTATTTGATAAAATATATAAAAATAAATGTCAAAAAAATATTTTTAAATTTTTTAAAATGATTTCTACTCACCAAAGATAAAATTTTATAAAAATGATAAATCTTTACAGTTTTATTTTTTTACCAATTACTTTTTAGTATGTATTTGGAGGATGATCATGTAATGGGTGGTTGTTTTGTTGATATTTTTTTATGGTTATCATGTAATAGATGGTTGTATTTGTTGTTAACATATATTTTTGGATGGTTATTATTTAATGGATGGTTATTAGGCTTTTAATATATAATTGATATGTTTAATATATGAAACAAAAATGCTAAAGATCCTAAAGATTCTACCAAATATCTCACATAGG